AGGCTGAACCAAAATGCAAGGTGCCGACGACGTCGCTAGCTGGAGGCTGAAAATACATGCAAAAATAAATCAATCAATTGACCGAGAGAAGGGCGAACTCACCGGCACCGGCGAGGAGCGGAGAACAGGGGGCGCTATGGAAGAACAACGACAGCAAGCTTCGCCGGAGAAGAAACCAGATCTACCGCCGCAGAGGGAAAACCAGAAATGGGGAAGAAAGGTAAGGCGCGGGCGATATGAAGGAGTATATTCGACAGCTTTGGCTGTCGAATATACAGAAAAAACGATGTCGTTCCCATAAATAAATATATTCGACAGCCAAAGGCTGTCGAATATATTTGTATATTCGACAAAAAAGTTGTTGAATATGAATACTGTCGATTAAACAAGAAATTTCCATTATTATCGTCAATTTTACATCTTCATCAATCTTTTTGTCGATTATGTACACATTTTCGACAGAAATGTGACTGTCGAATATAATATTGTCGCTTATGCCGCGTTTTCCAGTAGTGCCTGTGTATGACGACTTGCAAAATTGCTATCTCATATATATATTTATCAAAATTTAACATAAAAAGAATTGGATGAATACTGCATAGAGTTTTTTATTTTATAATTTTGATTATATTAAATTACAAAATAAGAGTTATTGAATGAGGAACACCCCAATATTAGGGATTCACCTCTTTTTAATGGTAACCTTTTGATTATACAACACTTTTAGTTGGGCATACATAATGGCTAGTGCTATTACCATACCTTAAAGTGTTAATGTCACATTTTCAGCACTTATATAGACAATTTTACTCATTATAATAATATCTTCTTAAAAATGATGTTTTTTTTTTTTTTCAAACTTGAAAATAAAAGCCTTTATGATAAATTTAATATTAAAAATGAAAAGTATTCTTTAGATGTTATTATTGAAAGGGATAAAATAATTTAAATAAGTGTTAAAGGTACGATATTAACACTTTAAAATTAAAATGTGAAAATAACTTCACTGAATGCCACTTTTTATTAGGGAGGATAAAGTAATCAAATTAACGAATTGAGTAGGCTTAACGTAAATAATGTGTGTGGCAATAACTAGACCTTTTCTTCTT